CCCCAGGTAACCTTAGCATTAGGTAAGGTCTGTAACCTCAAGAAAGTGCCGCATTAGGGGAGGTGAGGATTTCAGCAATGCTGAAATCAAACCCAAGAATTAAGAACTCATCAGAATTTCAGGCAGGAGCTGGAGCTGCTTCCCACATGTTCTGCTTACTTGTGTTGAGAGAAAACAAACCAGTTGATTTCTCAAGATATTTCCCTCAGTTTGCAACAGTTTTTAGCTCTATAGTTTGTAATATTATATGCTCCAAAATGAAATTCAATCCCCAAATCCTTCTAGTTGGTTACTCATAAAACCCATTAAGTTCAGGCACAAGCAAATCAGACTCATCTCCTTCCCTCCCAGTGCCTATTACATATAAATAGTAATTATTGTTCCTGGCAAGGCTCTAGTGTCTCTTATGATTCTGTACTTTAATGATCTGATTTCTTAGTACTTTCCACTGAAGAATATATTTAACAAGCATCCATGTATCCTCCTCCATGATAGGATTTTTAAATTATGAATGTAATAAAGACAATGATGTTGCCAGTCTCATGATTAATAGCTTAAAGAGACATTTGCTAAGCCTTCATTCTCACCATTATCACAAATTCACAAGCTGTATAGTTTTGTAAAATGTGGCAAAGACAAGATTTAACTCTATAGTTACACGGCTAAATCCACAAGTAATACAAGAAGGGCACTAATATAGTTTGATCCAGAAAAACAATTTAAGTCCTACATGTTTTGCAGACAGATTTGTGTTTTTTAAATGCCACCTTAGCAGAAAGTGTCTAATGCAAGATTTCCACCCTTATTTATGCAACGGGTGACATCTCCAAACTTGTATGTTGTCAGAAGTCAAACCCCAGTAAGTTATATCACTGCAAGACAGAGAGCATCATTAGCGTGCAGTGCAGAGCTATTGAACTAATCAACTGGAGAGGCTTCTCCTAATAACACAGATCCCAAAACAAGCTGCTACAAACACTCCCTCAACCATCACATCAGTTGCTTTTAAAATTAAACTGAAACCAAACCACTGAAAGAAAATAGGGTTTATGGTAAAACTCAATTTTATTACTTCACAGGAACATGGGCTTCATTCAACGCAAGAGCACACCCACGACGCACAGTTGCTGCTCAGTGGAGTTGACTCCACTCCCCAAGGTTCAAATTTTCACAATGAATTGAGTAAATGCTACAGTAGATAATGCCAATCAAAACTCTCAGAAAGTAAAGGTAGGTTAAGCATTACACTGGAGATACAACATGAGGCAGCAACTGTGTGCAAGACTGTCTGGCTTGGTAATCAGTGCATGTGAAACATTCAAACTATCACCTTCACACTCAAGAGAGCCAGGTAAGAACAGAGCAACTGCATATTAGCACCAGCTCCATTCTGCAAGTACCCACCAGCTCAGCAATAGGCATCTCTCTACTCACCTTGCAGAATCAAGGCCACATTCTGCATTTATTGATTTGTATCAGGGACACAGTCATTTAAGACTATAGATTAAAGCAAATGAAATGGAAACTGATAATTCATTTTCAATTCTGTTTAAGGTTTATTACAACTCAGGTAGCTTAAATTTGTCACACACGAGACAGAGGCTTCACCAGTTCTGGGACTATTTGTATAAATCAGCACAGCGAGACAATCTCTTTGGAACAAGTCATGAAATTTAAGCATCCGCCAAACCAGTTCAGAGTGATTTATGAAAATCTGAAGATCACATTAATGGAATTGCTAACAGCCATAACTACATCCACATAAATGTGCCTCTCATAATAAAAACACTCTACATAGTTCTGAATGTTTTAAGAACTAGTAAAATGACTACAGATTATGGAGTCCATCTCCTTTAAGGCATCAAAGACATTCTCAAGGAGGAGTTAATTAGTCCAGTTTCACAGGATACACCATTACAGAGCCTGAGATTCCGACTGTCTGTGATTAATTTCAACCCTGCACCAACATACTTTGCTTACATTAGCTCTGTTTTCAATTTCCCCTCCTTTTTTTTCAGAGGCCCCTCACTGGTGTGTTCACAGCTGGAGACTCAAGTGCAACTCCTCTGTGCTGCCCCATAACCAACTGGAACACTTGTCAGGAAACCTCTAGATGACAAGAAAGCACATAAGAAGTACTTTCCAACATGCATGTTTCCCCACCCTGTTCCCCAGTTCACAAGGCAGCACATTCAAATGCAATCCCCCTCCCCTCAAACGATCTGGGACACATATGCACGTGCTTCAAAGCACCCACGTTAAACACGCAGTTCACAGGAACACTGTGCTTTTGCAGATGCTGCTGACAAAGGATCGCGATTAAAGACTCCTCGCTACCTCTCCTATAAGAGGAAGATGGATACCTACCAACCAGCAGCAGGCACCAGGCTTTAAGAAACGACTGCCTGTAGTCCAGTGCTTCAGCACATTCCCATGCAATGAAAAACATCCATCAACGAGGCAACTTTGACAAAAACATAAGGGTCTTTCTCGGAGGCACCGAGTCTCCCAGGCTGATACGGTGTCACGGGACACCTTTCAAGCTTCCTTACCAAATAGCTTAAGTTCTGAAAAGAAAAGCGACTTGCTTATGCAGTTCTCTTTCTGTATTCCACTCCCTTTCTGCCAGGAGTCTTGCTTGAGAGTAAAGCCTCCCTTGCATGCACCCAAAGTTGGCACCACCTTCTGTCTCTTCCTGGCCACCTGAGCATTCATTCATACTGGTACATACATACAGTGACAAGCTGCATCGAGGTGAGAACTCCTCTGTCCTCTGGGTTAGTTGTAGCCTGGATCAGCTGTCCCACCACATGGCAGAATAAGATGCATTGGAGCTGTTCATGTGATACCAGAGCAGAGAGAAGACAAGAATGGCAGCACTGGCTCACGTGTGCTATCCCATATGAGAAACTACATCCCAAATCGCAATTTTCATGGAAGTCACCCTCCATTGCTTGCAATCACTTGCCCAAAGAAGGTGCTGCTGTTCTTACCAGTAACATCTCAGGGTAACACAAATAAACCATGTGCTGTGGGATGCTCTGTGCTATACGATGGACAAATGTATGTTTAGCCTGCCTGGGTCTTAAGGTTCTTTCTGATTCAATAAATTCCTTGCTTAAATTATCTAACCAAGTGCTTAAAGCTTTCCTTATCTTGCTAAATTAAGCCAGTCCTTGCCAGCTGCCAACAAGGGGAAGTGGGAACACGCAAGGATACTGCAGGAACTCCTCTAGCACAGCACAGTGCACATACGCTTCCACTTCCCAGCCTGACTGTGCTTGGCACTCCCTCACTTCCCCCTGCTCCCTCCAGTCCTTTAGGAGGGATTTGCACCTGGCTTAGCTCAAGTCTGAATTAATTTGCAAGACAAGGAAGTCAAAGTGGTTTTCCTCCATTGGAAGCCAGGACTATGGACAGACACAAAGAGAAGCTGTGCAACAGATGATGTTTAGCAATGAAAATAGTTTTTCTCTGGGCTCACTCCTTTATCTGGCAGAAAAACACAGCAAAGACATTTGCTGGTGTAGCAGTGCCAGACAACAGTCTCTTCAAACAGAAGTAGCTCTCTTCAGCAAGGAGCACATCATAGTTTACAGACCAAGGTGAAAAACCAACAGATCCACTGCTCTCACTCATCCCTGCCCAGTGCAATAACACCACAAAGCTCAGTGCCGGACTCGTAGCCTCCCACCCCTCCGGAGCAGAGTGACACAACCTCGTTGTGTTTGTACAGCACCTACCACAAATGCTGTAATTACCAACCAGACCCATCGGTGCTACTGAACGCAAACAAACCAGGGACAATCAAACAGCAGATGCAGCAGAAATGAATTAATTTATATTTGAACAAAAGCAAAAGCCAACGGGAGGTTAAAGACAACAAGCTTTGAAGACAGAGCTGAAGGAAGAAATGCAAAAATGGTACGTTTCACTGCATATTGTGGATCTGAGAAATGACTCAAAACCATCTGAGATGTAAACAGTTACAGCCAAGGAGTTTATCTTACTATCTAAGCTGTGACTCTTCAGGGCCAGCTTTGTAATTCTCCTTAATACACACATCATGGAGACTTCTGCAGCATCTAGGAACTTAAATCAATCTGACTGACTGAACACTTCTGTAGTTCCTATTATACAGACAAGTGCTGAAGCTTTATTTGTGCAAAGGCTGCTTTTTATCTATAGGGACAGGCTGATAATGGCAGCCAGATAAATGTTAACAGAATGAACTTTATTACCAATTTGAACTATTTTAAAAAGGGGTCTTCACAAATTAGAACTGTAGATGAGCTTAGCCACCCTAAAAAGTGGTATTCGGTATTGTACAGCCACAACAGGGACAATGTAACTACCAAATAGGTTCTAGCTGTTCTTTTTATGGCATTGATTTTTTTTGATACATTCAAAGCATTATTGCATCAGAAAACATACCATGCATCTTTATGTTTCCAGACAAATTCATCTGTATTTGTCATTTCTAGCTACATCTCAAAGGTGCACCAAATCTACAGTTTTATGGTTTTAGTTGCATGCTTTGCCTATATGCATGCTAAGATAATAAATATTAAATACAGGAAAGAACATAAGAGAACCAAACTGACATTAGGAATATTCTATGGCAGCTCTGTTATGTTCTGCCAGTTAAAGAACTTGTCAAAAAATTGAGGTAACAACAGTGGCCACACCACTCAGCTGAGAATCGCTCAAAATTCTTGGAAGTTTTCAGAAATTCAAGTACACAAACACCAGCTGCAACTTGTCAGAAATGCCAGAGAAATTAGGTTGGCTGCATTTTATTAGTCTATTAGCTGGCGTTCACACAGCTCCTTGTAAATCCTTTTTCTCACTCGGGGCATATCTTCCTGGGAGAACTGAAAAGGCTGGTCTAAGGCGAGGCACTTGCAGTACTGGGGAAAAGGAAAAGGCTTGGTTGAAATAAAGAACATTTACTATATGAACAACACAGGCCAATGATTGTCAAAAAGCAGTACTCTTACCTGGAGCACAAAAACCCCACAGTCACTGTCATTTTTCTGTTGTGGAATGCACTAAAAAGAAAGAAACAAGCAGAGACGTGTTAGATCTTTATCCTTTCACTTCTCCTTTTGTTCTCTAATTCCTGCTTGAAGTCCAAAAGGAGATCATCATAACAATCAGTCATCTCGTTCTCAGAGCTGTTCTGCAGCACCAGAAACTGGAGTTGCAATTACTTACTCTGATCCCACATTTTGCAAGGTGACACTCAAACATCTTGTTAGAATAACACCTAACATTTAGAAAAATATATAGTGTAGGACAGAAAATAAATTACAAGTCTTTATTTCAAGTTTATTTTCTTTTAGTGACCTACACAGAACAGCTTCTCAATTAGTTTAAATAAATGTTTGTACAGCATTATCTGCTTTACACAGGACAAAACTGTATCAGCAAAGTCACACAGGCCTAGAGGAAGATTACTCTCAGCACCCATGCTACCAGCAGTGGCCTTCTTCCCCCAGCCACAGCAAAGGGTCTCAGAGAACATAATGAATGGTACATTGCCAGACAACAGGACTGAACAAGGCAGTCTCAAATGATAACTTCCAGCCTTCATTATTTCCTCAAACATGCTCAATTTTGATATGCAGAGCTAAAAAGTTCCACACATTAGTGCTGTTATGTCTCCAGCACTTGAAGAGGAAAAGTAATTGTTTTTCCTCAGCTCCCAGATCTTCTGCCTCACAGAATGCAGGAGAACGAACTGACTGCACAGGTTGTGCAAGAGTGCAGAGAGGAATCATTTCATCATTGTATCAGCATCTAAAAATAAACCTGTGTGAGGAGGGAGCTGTTGGGAGTATGTCTAGTGTGCAATGACCTGTTTTATATCTTTGGAGCCATTATGGGATGGCTACACAAATTACATATTCCCTCATTTACACTACACACAAGTTATTCCCTTTTATTGTTGCCAGACTTCGTTTACTTGTGATCAAACGCAATGTGCCACAAACAGCCCTGGAGACCAAAGTCCTCTATCCATAGCAAACATAAAATATCGGCAGTAGCAGCATCAGCCTGTTCCCTCCCTCACCAAACCCCATCCTTTTGGCATTCAGAACAGCCCTTCCAGGAGAAGGGAGGAAGCTGAGTATCCAGCTCATTCAGTCCTTGACCTCGTGTCAATATGGGCACCAGCTGCAGGTTTTGCTGCACAATATATAATTGTCCAGAGAAAGGCTCAGATCACCAAGTCACTTGCAGAAAGTGGTAAAGACCTGGTGGGAGCTGAATGAGCAAGAGAGCTCAAATTCCCATGTGTAACTGCCTGCATCGCTCGCAGCACCCTCCACGTGTGCAGCATAAACCCATTTACTACTTGTACAAATATATGGGTTTAGAAGCAGCCTCATGAAATCTCCCACAAAGTCAGATTCCAGGGCTCAAAGTGCTGCTATTACCTTTGTCACAGCAGTCTGCCAACCCTGAAGGAACTCGGGGCGATTCTTCTCTTTTGCTTCAGTCAGCAAATACTTTCGAATGTTCTTTAAAGAGGAAAGGAAAAAAGCAACAATATTATTCACCAGCTAAAGAACAGGAGAGAGACATTGCCATCTTGTCTGGTATCCTTCTGACAAGGAGGACAAATTTCACGTGAGCATTAGGAGCTGAGCTCAGATCTAGAGGTGAAGACATGAACTCTGGTGGGTGCTTGTGCCTTCTACCATCAAGGCTCATTTTGGTCTATCAGAGGGAGCTCTAACGCCCCTCAGCCCCATTGCTATACTTCATACCAGACTAGCTGTGGCATTCAGGCACAAGGTCAGAGTGTTCCCAGACATGCAGAGAAACACAGTGCAGTCTGGCATGTGTTTTTTCCTGGCTTACTGGCTGACACCAAGGCCCTTGCGTTCAATACGATCACATTTTCCTGCCCGAACCTCAACACAACACGCCTGAGTTCTGTAGCTAATCAACAAAGCTCCAGGGAGAGTTTTAGTGACATACAGGAAAAAATAAGCTGACACAAGCGAAGGGAAGGAAGCAAGATAAATGAGACTACGGTCTTGGGTTAAGCAAATCCTTCTACTTCTCTGTAAACAGGCTGAGGGTTTATAGCACAATTTAAACACACGGTAGCACACAAATATTCAGCTTAAGTGTGTGGATCACAGTGGAGTTTGGGATATTGCTCCCCTCCTTCCCCTAGAAAGGGCAGCAATAAAAGTGTCTCATATTTGTGAGACATTCAGATACAAATGCCTTGACTGGAGTGGGATGGGAGAGGCCACATTGCAAGACTGCAGGAGAGACCGTAGGGCTGCTGAGAGGGACCCCTGGTTTATGCTGCACATTCAGAAGCTGGAGAGCATGAGATCTCTTGTTCCCAGGACAAACATTAGCTTCATCCTCAGCAAATGCCAGCAGGCATACTATCTTCATTCAGAAGTCCTAGCTGGGAACTCTCCTGGGTACAATAATTACTACTCTTCTGTAAGCCAACAACTACACACAGTTAAAAGTAGAAGGCTGCTGCATCAAGCAAGCAATTAAGTTGACAAAATTAGCCTTTGTAAGAAAGTCATTACAATTTGCTAGGCCCAGCAAAAATTTCCTGGCTGCTCTTTACCAGGAAGACTGATAATTTAACTCCAGTGTTTAGGTTGCAGCCTTTAAAGGTTGCTGGGTTATAACCAGAGGCAAACACCCCGTGTGTACCAACGCAGGCCAAGGAAAAAGGCAACACACTGTTAAGTAGCACGGTTACACGTAAACCCCACTGGGCAACACTGCAGCATCTCAGTCCTGTTCTCTCACCCCGGTAACCTACCCCCAAAAGGACCACAATTCATCATTTCCTAAACACAAGTACCTTGACAGATGAAAGAATGACCCTCACTCTCCTTGGGGCTCGTCTGCTTCCCTACGGAACCGGGCTTTGAGCTCCTGCTTTTCGCAGGGGTAACAAGACAAGAGTCACCAAAGCTGTGCTGACTACATGGTCAGCCTAATTAGGCAATAGGCAATCTGACCTCAACTCCCAGCTCTGGTGTGACCCTCGAGATCTGTGCTTCAGACTGCTCAGCAGGACACACTGATTCTCATTTCATACACGGCACGACAATGACAGACATACTGCATTTAAAGTTTATGGCTGAACAGAAGAAAGGGGGGAGTGTTTGTTTAAGAAAACAGTTCAAACTTCACAGACACAGCTGTCACTCTTACCTCTACACAAAACTTAAAATGAATGCCTTGGGAATCATAAAATGAAATAATTCGACTGGGGATGTTCACAGTAATGAGGGACCAGTGGACTTCCAGGTGAATAGGAATTAACAAGAGAGTCTTTTTGAATAAGTCCACCTGGCAAGAAGAACAACATATATTAGATACAATTCCACAGGCACAACACAGCAAAGCAAAAGATTAATTGTATTCGTCTCCTCTCTGCCACCCTGTAACTGAAGTCTTCTTTTGTCCCCTCTGCTCTTTCACCACATTCTTTACATTTATCTCATACACAATTTATTAGTAGGCAAAAAAAATACAGTTACAGCCCAGAGAGCGGCTGAGAAGCCTTGTACAGTACCACAGTTAGTCATCAGTGTATTTGTGGCAAATCCTGCTCACGTTGCACTACAACATTTGAGTTGAAGTGGGATTTCTTCGGTAATGACGGTAAAACAATCGAGCCCCAATTTAGGTTAGCTACATATCTTCAGTAACGACACTCCTGCAGTGCAAGCAGATTTTTATCAGAGCTGCCTTGTGGACAGGTGACAGACTTTGGGGCATTGGTTGGTGAGAAGCTTAACATGACTCAGTGATGTGCACTCACAGCCCAGAAAGCCAACTGCATCCTGGGCTGCATCACAAACACTGTGGCCAGCAGGTTGAGGGAGGTGATTCTGCCCCTCTGCTGCACTCTCCTGAGACCCCACCTGCAATACTGCATCCAGCTCTGAGGCCTCCAACATAAGAAGGATGCGGATCTGTTGGAGCGGGTGCAAAGAAGGCCAAAAAGATGTTCTGAGGGCTGGAGCACCTCTGCTATGGGGACACACTGAAAGAGTTGGGGCTGTTCAGTCTGGAGAAGGCTCAATGGAGACCTTATAGTACATTCCATTACCTAAAGGGGCTACAAGAAAGCTGGAAAGGGACTTTTGACAAGAGCATGAAGTGACAGGACAAGGGTTTAGATTAGATATAAGGAAGACATTTACTGTGAGGGTGGTGGGACCGTGGCACAGGTTGCCCAGAGAAGCTCTGGATTTCCCAACCCCTGAAGTTCAAGTCAAGGTTGGACAGGGCTTTGAGCAACTTGGTCTAGTGGAAGGATTCTTTCCCATAGCAGGGGGGGTTGCAATGAGATGATCTTTAAGATCCCTTCCAATCCAAACCATTCCGTAATCCTACGAAGCAGCTGTCATTACAAACACCCCACAGAACCAGCAAGCTGTGCAGTTTGACTCCCTCTGCTGTAACACAGGCTGTGTGACTTGCCAGAGGAAGGCAGAGGAGTGCATGACGCTTTGGTAAGCAGAGAAAAGGAAGGGGAGATGGTAGAGCAGATTCATCCTTTCTTGATCTAAACTTTGTAGCAGATGTACTGTGGTCACAGGCAAGCAAACAAGGGAGAAGGTCTTGAAGTACAGAACGAGTAGATCACATGCAACACCCCCGGTGTCTGTGTGGCAGATGAGCCCTTATGCTTTTGGAAGCCAGCCAAGCCAGGGCCTTTCATGATCTTCCTTCTTCCAGCTCCTCTCGAAACGGGTGTCTAATTGCTGGGGTTTTGGTGGTACAGTCCAGAAAATAAGCAAAAATAGAAAGCTGAACTAAATGAACTCATCCTGTGGGAAGATGTCTATTTTTTTTTAAGCACTGTGCAATTTGACCAGTACATAATTGCAACACTACTGGCAAAGACAGGTCTTTTGTAGGAGAGGAAAGTGTATTTTTTGAGTAACAGTGGGAAGAGACAAAAGGGCCTGGGCATTCACAGCAGTTATCAGCTGAGCCTTGCTCATAACAGTCCTTTGATTGTGACAAGCATCAACCCTGCTCCCACCTGCAGAAACTGCTTCCTGACCAGATTACAGCACACTCACTACACGGCAATCCATCATTCTTGGAGAGAAGCAGACGGATGTCAGCCAGCAGCAAGCTGAGACCACAAAGGAAAACTGGAAAAAGATAAATGAACTACACCTTCTGTGATGTCCAGCAACAGCAGAGCCATGCTAAACTCAAGGATCCTCATATGGCTTTAGCTGTTGGATTACTGCAGGTGTGCAAACCTGTAGCAGAAGACTGGAAAGAGGCAGCCAAAAGCTGGAAGGGTCTTTAGTTAAGACCTGATGTACAGGAAGAATGGTGGCAACCCAAATTCACTTCACTAAGACAGCACAGAGTCAGATGACATGAGAATGGATCAGGAGTGCCAGTGTGATCCTTGACCAGAAGGGACAGCAGCTCAAACCACTGCAGCAAGACACAGAACAGGAAATCCTGTACCCCAGGAGAGCACATATATAAAACCTGGTGCAATACTCTGGTGTGTTTAAAGAGCAGACACAACTTCCCCTTAATTGCATATTGCAGGATGAAGGAGTCTACAGAATCCTTCCCATAGAAACTGCTTAGTCCTCAATCTCGCTTTAGAGATTCTTCAAGAATTTTAAGTGTAAATGTCTAAAGAACTGTCCTGCTCTCATCTGGTACCTCCTCAGAAGCAACAGCAATGCAGGCTCTGCTTCCAAAATCTACCTTCATTTTGGGGGTTTTTGCAAAACTTGGGTTGCTGGAGAAAAAGAACTTCTAAAAAAATAATATCTGGGAATATTAAGTACCAATATTCCATCTCACTTTAAAGAGATTTTTAATAAATTATATGAATAGATTTTATATTTGGATAATGAGTTCATCTCTAGCATTCCACAGATGTGTGCTATTTAAGTGCTTCTGTAGAAAGATCATACATTCAAACATGGCCCTTGATTAGTCTTGCCCCATCACCCATATTAGAAAGGACAAATGTTCATAGAAAAAAAAGAGAGTATTGCTCTTTGTATTAGCTGCCTCTCAAAATATCAGAGCCCATGATCTGGTACAGGTTCTGGAAAGCAAGGTGAATTCTGTTCTTGCCATGAGAACAACAGTTTGGCTTATTAACCGTGGGTCTCTAATTTCTGCTTTCTAGTACCTGTATGTGTTATTCAGGAGTAACAACTTGATTTTGTCAAAGAATGCCAGTTTGAGATAAAAGGAAGAAGCAGAATTAAGTCTGGTCTCCTGCAGATCAGTGTACCTGGAACTGCCAGGAGCAGTAGGAGACATTTCTTGCAGTTAAATTAACAACTTGCATGAACATACACAAAGAGATAACCTACCACTGAAGATTTAGCCATTAGAAGCACATTTTCACAACATCCCCATACTAACTTGAACAGTGCCACACTATTTTTATCAAGCTCTCCCCAATTTGTTCAGCTCCTTTGCCAATCCATCCTTTGCAGATAACACACTGTAACCCAGTTTCAAGTTAGTGATTCAGCCCAGCCCAACAGAACCCGAGAACTAACAAGGATACCTTTTTAGTCCATCGTTTTACCCCGTTATATCCTTTGGTTACGAGCTGTCTATGAAAAAAGCTGTTAAAGAAATGAACCTAAAAAAGAGAGAGAGGAGGAATGAGCACAGAAATCTTCATGCACAGTCATCCCCCTTCCCCCAGGATAATTTATACAAAACAACTTGTAATGAGGCAATATTTAATGCAGGTTTAGAAACACAACCCCAGTAGGGACAAACAGAGGCTTTGCCAAGCCTAAACTATTGCTGCTCGTCAGCAAGCTAATAAAATAAGCCTTATTTCCCTATAATATATGATGTGAGCCACTGCAGCATTTATATTTACATTTTTGTATCTTCAGGCATATCATGTTCAATTTTTTGGGGGGGGACAGACTTGGGAGAAAAACACCATGATAGGGAGTTATAGTTTTTGTTGTTCTTTACAGGGATCAAGGAAGAGAACATTGGACTGGAAAAGCGGGAGTGGTGAAGAAGGGAGTGACTTCTGGCTTTAGTTGCTGGAAGCTGAGACACAAAAAAAGAAGAATTCATCAAAACAGTTATGAGATTTAGTCCAACAACATGGTCTTCTGTATTCAACTACTATGACCATCTCAATATTCTGCTATTGAAAAGTATTTTTAAGGTATGACAGATCCATTTTGTAAATAAAAATCTACATTTATGACAAAAAAATGTAGGCTTATGTTAAAAAAAATATTTAGCTCCAGGTTAACACTATTACTCCCTGTGCTTAGCTTCTTGCAATTACAGGAACAGACTAATACAAATAGAAATCTGCAACATCTGCTTTTAATAATTCTGCTAGTGTAGAGGTGGTAGAAGGCTTGAGTTATTACTTGAAAAAAAAGTTAGAAAATTCAGCATTTGAGAACAGAGTCTAACGCCCATTAGCTATGCCAACAGACTTCAAAACCACATTCTGAGGTACCAGCACAAAACCTCCCATGAGGATTTCAATTATGCACTACGAAGAAAAAGCAGACACAAGCAAACAGATACAATCTCCAATACCCCAACCCCAGGACACACTCGGGAAGTACGGAGAATACTAATGAAGAATCGCCATCACCTCCCAATCAAAGCAACAATGCTCTTTCTTCTGAGCTTGAAGATTTTAAGAGTTACATTCTGCAGAGCTAATCTAAGGATGGTTTTGTTTGGTTCTTCCTTTGTGGTCTCACCTGAAAATTGTACAGCCCTACTAATAAACAGATGGGTTTTTATAATTGTCGCTGCTGCAAATTTAGTCACAGAAGGGGGAGGGAGCTTGTTTTCTTGATCATTTTTTGCTTTCTTTTTCTCAAGTGCCACCAACAGGCACTGCAGTTGCAAAGCAGTAAGCATTCTGTTGAGGATGCACAAAACAGAGTCCTGCAGAGTCAATACTGCCAAGGAACCAAGCAGCTCCACATCAATTCACATTCACCAGGCAGGCAGCTGACACAGCTTGAGCTGTTACAGCCCCCACAGCTACAAGGTGGGCGGGCGGGTGAGTGCAAGCAGCTCATGTGCATGGTTCAGATGCTAACACTCATGGTTTGTCATCTCAGCAGAAATTCATCTTCATCAGAAATTTCAGCTGAAACACCAGACTGGTGAGCAAGGGCACGGACACAGCACTTTAGAAGTAAATAAGATGGAGACAGAAACCTCCAGAGGAGAGAGAAGAGTGGGATGGGTGAAAACTGGGCAAGTGTCTTCTACAGGTACATCAGTAACAATAAGCTACCACAGAGACCACCTGCAGAGATAATAGAGTTCCTGAAACAAGAGCAACATCACTGAAAAGGAACACCACTCGAAACATCATTGAGCTGAATCTCGATTCTCTATCTGAAATTCAGTTTCACCCTTCCCTCTCAATGTCTCAAATAGGTATATTTGCATGATAGCAAAACCCCTCACCTTTTCAGGGACTGCATCCATTACGAGTTCACCATACATGTTAATTATCTGTAAGAGTCAGTAAATAGTTGAATACATACAGCATAATATTGTAAGACCCAAATTCACAAGTTCCCATAAAACATAGGACCCTTCACATTAAAACAGCAATATGGAGAGAAGCCTTTACAGTAACACGGTCTGAAGGACAAGCACTCTGGAACTAATAGTGGCCAGCCTGCAGAGAGATCATAACTGGCTGCTTCAAGTCTGCCTCAATCTTAAATGTAGTTTAATTCAATTTAAATCTACTGGTGCATGCCCTGGGCTCTGCAGCCTTCTCAGTTTTTTGGCTGTGGGCCACAGTCTGCTATTTCACTTCGTTGTTCTTATAATCTGCTCAAGCTTGGGGATGGGGGGAGTTTCTAAAATCTGTGTGGGTAGCCACTGTTTTATGAAAATAGTGCAACATCATTTTTTCCAAAGGAACCAGTCTAGCTGTGACAACTCACAGCTTCCAGACTTACTGCACTTGTCACTGTAAAAGCTGCCCACCACTCCTTCTATTTCTCAAACATAAAGTAAGGATAGTCCACCTGCAATGTTAGCAGAAGATGCATGACTGATATTCTAATACAAATGGGCTAAAAAGGGCTGGAGAAGCACATGAACACCAAGCATTTCTGACCTGGTCATTCAGCCAGTTCTGGCCTTCCAGTGTAGCCAAATCATCCATATCTAGCATGTGCTTATTATAGAAGACCCGGAAATTGCAAGTGGAGGGTTTTGGATGTTTTTCCCGATACTTCATGATTTCCCTGGTGATAAAAGGTTTTCTAAAACAGGATTGAAAACGTAGAGAAAAATTAAGTCAAGGTCATGTTAAACAGAGTTCTATTCTGCTAGTTGTTAGACATGGAGCATGCAGTAGCAATGCAAGCAATTTGTCCTTTACCAACTGTAGAATGTGCTACACACCTATGGGAGAAATCTTCATTAAAGACTTCTTTTAATCTTCCCATGACATCTTTTTCACAGAGTGGTACTAAACTGCCATATTTCTTCATAACTTCATCTAGGAATCCTTTAAATACACCAGAAAAAATGAAAGTGCAAACATATAAAAACCTTCTGAGTCCACCACTCCAACAAAGCAGCCAGTTCTTACAAGTACGAGCAGCAATCACTGCACCCAACCAACACACAGCACCACACATGGCAAGTATTTATTTAAGAAAACTAAGCTCAAATTGGCAGCGTTATATAAAAGTAGGGGTAGGGGAAGAAGGACAAAAATAGAGACGTGTGAATCTGATCACTCAGCTTTACAGGAAAAGATCAGACCTCGTTCTTGCCATATATACACAAATCTACACATACACATATCTACATCAAACTTAAATCATTTTACTGCAACATGAAAAGCCATCAGTTCCTGCAACAGGTTTCACTGAAACCGCAGTATCCTGTCCTTATGGCAGGCAGAATTACTCTCCTCAAGTGCAGGCAGCCTTAGCTGGCAGAGTGTTTCCAGTCTGCTCAGTTCCGCTGCCGCCACCACAGCAAACGGAAAAGATGCCAGACAGACTCCCAGCAAGTTTAATTCCTTTACCTTTGTATTGCAGGGATGGCATTTAAGGTGACATGGACAGCCATGTCAGCCTGCCATTGCCCAGGAAGGCACTGGGCGACCACAATAGCAGAAACAAAAGATATTAACTTGGAAGTAATGAAGAGATGAATGCTGGAGGAAGTAAAAAACGTAGAAAATAAGATTTTTTTTTCTTCCTCAAACACAAGACCGGAACACTAGAGATATAAATTCCACACAAGCATCCAAAACCACTTTGAGAACAAAAGAGAATGGAGGGAGAACAGGATTTCAACACTTGCTAGGGAACACGTGAAAAAAGACCAAGTTGTCCAGCTTTCTGAAAATGAATTTTCAAATGGAGCAGAAAATACATGTTCTGTGTAAAGAAAGCTCGATCTGAGATCAGAGTCCAGGGAAACTGCACTAATGTGAAGTCCAGGACTCTTCTCAGGCTGGGATGTGATGGCAGAAAGCATCACTACACAGCACAATGTTCAGTTCTTTGCTTACTAAGGCTTTAACAATATTTCCTGGAAACTTCCAAGATCAAGATAGGAAGAAGCAAGATGAGAGAAACATTTGACAGAAAAAAAGTGGCAGAAAAACAACACTAAGAATAAAAAAAGAAAGGAAAGAGACCAAGGAAAAAAAACAAAACACAATGAGTCGAGAAAAGCAGCGAAGATATAACAAGTGTGACAGAAGGATGGCAGGGAGGATTGAGGAGCGAGATCAGACCACAAGGAAACATTCTTCATGGAAAGATAACCTTTCCTGTAACTCTGCCACACACTTGCCTAACAACTTTTATCCCTTACATCTCAGTACACTGTGACAGGGAGGACATTTCTCACTCTGGGTAGCAGTCTAGATAGACAATGCATGGTGCTTATGAGTGCACCTTATTCTCTTTCAGTACATAAAAATTTAAAAAGCTTTTCATTCATACACTGAGGAAGAATTGTTCTTGTCATTACAATTAACAGCAGCAGAGTTCCAGGAGACTTCTAGCTAGACTCTGACCTCGCTTGAGCTGGTGTAACTCAAGGAAGAAATACAAAGTTCAGCCCAGGTGCAAACTCAGATAGTCATCATGAACGGGATTTACCACGGGGCTCTGTTTGATACCCAATAGCACAGCAGAATGCACTAAGTAGTGCAGCCCATTAATATCCGAGTTCAGCTGCTGCAGAGAAATTTGAAACTTGAGAGCAGCCCTAACACTTACATCTCCTTCAAGCTTCTACCCCAGGAACCCTTGCCAGGTTAGCACTATCTTTTAGGGTGCAGTTAATATTAACACTCCTGAACACACAAGAACTCTTATACATAGTTATACCACAACTAAAATTCTTTTTTTTTACAGCTTTTCAGCTAGGAAAACTCAGAAACGCTATACTAACAGTATATGCGTATGTACAGTATGAATATGTATGTAGTGTAGACTTGGCTTCAATCCTCTGAGAGGAAACCTCAGCTCTGAAGAAAATGGAAATTGGTCTCACCTACTTTCATACAGAGGTTAGGTAAGAATTCTCTTAAAATTGTCAAGTGTGGGAAAGTTTAGTGCATTTGCTGCTTGCCTTTTTATTTTTTTAAACTATTCAGGCCTCCCATGAACAAGAACATGACTGCCTACCAGACCACAAAAACTTAACCTTTGCCACCCCGATACAACCTTGGTTCTTGACTGTTACAGAAAGACTAAACCCGTTTATCTGATGGACAAACTTCAAAACTCCATTGCAGAAGTGGTCTGTTCACTGGGGTACCACAGTTTCTCTCAGTTTCTCACAGTGTCTGGTCCTTGCTGGATCACGTAAAGCCAGTCACAGAGGAACACCTCCCACACATCTCCCATGTAGATATGGATGTGGAAAGCTAAATCCTTTTTTGAGGTTCACTGTCTCCTTTTTCACGTTTTGCTTTAGAGAAACAATTGCAAAACTGAAGGACAAAAAAGTGGGCAGAATAATCAGAGCATGTCAAACTTCAAACAATCCCTTTAACACTAGTTAACAACAGCTTCAGGTGTATGGGGCTCCATAAAGGCTATTTCTCCAAAGGAAGACTTCGGTTGTCAGAACATCACTGAACTTACATTAATGGTATCAGATGGCACAACGTGTTAGCTTACTGCTCCTTACTACGTGTGTAGTATGCTGCTATACATAAATGAGACACCATTACTATTTTTATCATGTTCCTCTTTTGAGAGACTATCATATACTGCATGCTCAGCATTGAGTAAAAAAATCCCAAAGCCTTTTTGCTGAACCTTTGCTAAGTCTAGTTTTGCCTTTTTAAAAAGTATTGTCTAATAAGATTCATTAAGCCTACTTTATGAACAATCAGAGAGAAAGCTAAGGGACAATGAACAATATTTGGCTATCAAAACCTGAGTTTAAGCGATTTAGTTTCAGTCTAAGAGAGATAGAGAGAAGAGAGGATAAGGGTGGAAGTATTAGAATACCTAGGATTTTCAAAAACCTAATTAAGAGTAATAATTTAAAACCATTTAAAACATTTAAAAAACTGAATCATCTTCTGAAACCACATCAGACATTTAAATTTCCATCAAAGACTGCAATCAAATTACACTGTATTCTCTAAAACAAAATAAGCAGAGGCACCCCTCAACTATTCCTCAGAATAGCTTGTCAGATAACCATTGGTTTGTCCTTCCTCCATGCAGTTCTCCTCTTTGCAGCCTCACTTCAGCAAGTGTTATGCTAAGCAGCCTTCACAATTCACGATAAGAAACCATTTTTATAAAGGAATTAATGCAACATGTAAACTCCACAATACATCCAGCAGTTTTCAGGAACTCCTGAATGCTCTAAGATATGTAAAAGGTGTACCACAAAGCCACGTTGCCAACTGCTCATCAGTCACCCGTGAAGCTTTCTGACTGTTCCTTTTGCCTCCCTTCCGAGTTCCTGATTTCAGTCCTGTGCTTTCCGGTGAAGGCTCCTCGAGAGGACTTTTACAGTAAGGGTGATCTAGTAATTTTGAACTAAAAATGTCCAAGGAGCCCTCTACTTCCATTTGGCTAGAGCTGTCCTCATTTTGTGTCAGCTCCATGGATAAAGGTCCATTAGCAAAATTATCATCAACAACAGAATCCTGCACAGAGGATTGCGACAGTGTCATTCCATCTACACCCATAACCTCCTTGGATTCTGCACCATCTTGATCTGAAACAGCAATTTGTTTTTCTGTTGCGGGGACAAAAATGTCAGAACAATGATTCTCTGACAGAGCCCCATTGGTCTCCACCTGGTGCAAGGCCTCTGCCTCTGGAGAAGCTCTAACACGCAGTTCTGGTGGGACAGCATCCACACCGCCATCCTGCCCTCCGGATCCTGGACCCTCAGAACACGGCTCAGCAGACGGCAACGCGTCCTGCGTATGGCAGATCTCGGGTGCACAGATTTCATTCTCCTCACCTAAAGATTTGGGTGTATTATTGTTCATATCTGATAAGCTGTACCGGTTCCAAAGATGGCTACTTTTAGATTTCCAGTAGGAAAACCAATTACACAATCCACTTTCAAAATCCCACTGAAGCGTCTCTTGATGGTCCCTTGTAGCTTTCTTCACCCACCTTGGCTTGATTTTTCTCAGTTTGCAAGTTTTGCCTCTTGCTCGAAGTTTCGGGGATTTTATGATTCTATACCGAAACCTAACCATAGAAAGTTTCTTATGCATCATAAATAAAAATCTCTTTTTTACAGTATGATGGTTAAATTTGGACCTCTTCAGAGTTGTCAAGGGGCCACAAGTTCCATTCCACTCCCTTTGCAACAGCATTTCCTTTTATAGTTGTTTAAAACTACCAGGACTGTGTTGCCCTCACCATTATTGCTCTCCTCCCCGCTATATACAAAACCACCTGCCTTTACAGGTAAGGCAGAACCTTCCAGGGGACCACATGAGACATAATGGATATTGCCAGAGATGCTATTAGGAACAGCAACGGTTTCAAATTCTTCATTCAAGGGATCTTCACTCTCAAAGGGTTCATTGTTGAGTTTCCTTACTGCTTCTCCAGATGGGCTTTCGGCTCTGCAATAGGGACAGGATCTTTTTGCTCTCAGTAGTTTTGTAAGAAAAGCTGTATGATTCAAAAGTAGGTTTTGGACAGGATTCTGCATTTAGAAGCACATGAGGAGCCCACCTGCTTTGGAGCTCAAGTGTCTTCCTTATGCACTGCAGTCTTCTGTACAGTTTGTTGGGATTTAAACTCACAAATAGCTGAGTACTCTGTATTTTCTTCTAAGTTAGGAAAAATTGCTTTTGGAAGCAGTATTTCCCAAGCTTCCCAAAAACAGCGGTCCATCTTCCAGATTGGGCCAGCAACTGACTTCTTTTCCAAAGCAAATGTCTTCTATGGCTTTTCATTTTTCTGCTGCATTATGATCTTGAAAAACAGCTGAAAGAATAAGGGAAATTGATTCAGAGTTATCTGGAGTGTAACATAATAGCAAAACACTAAGGCACATTCCTCAGGCCACATGCCTATCTAAAATTCCACCCCTCCTCCAACCACAATCCCACATTCCCTAGGACATTTTCACTTGCACCAAAAGGAAAAATAAGCAATAGCTGCAATGGTTCTGTGTGTAAACAGGCTCTTCTCACCTTCCCTAAAGGTAAAGCAATAAACAGGTAATTCCCACCCATCCCATGCTCCCTCTATATATTCCTGACTCTCTAGCCTGAGGTTAAATCTCGAACTGCCCATGTTGTAGGGCAAGCACAGTTAACTACCATGCCTGAAAAGGCTTTTGAAAAACAAAACTCTGAAGTCCAAGTTATCAACAAGTGTGTGCAGGCATCTGACTCCATCAGCACTGTACAAAGCCAATCCTTGCTCTTGTGCAATAAACATGAGCAGCCTCTGAAAACACTTCCCGTGCTCACGCAAAATCCTCCTTTAAAGAAACTGCAATGCACAAACTGCCACAGAAATTTTGATTCTCTCACTAGATAAATGACAGAGTTTACTCCATGAAGTAGTTCCTCTATATTACCAGCAACAACTCCTTCCATACCATTCTATATTCTCACACCATCAGCTTCTATAATCAGTGTTCATCTTTGCATTAATAAAGCAATACCAATGCAGCACACCAGTTAATAATCTTAAAAATCCCCTTTCCCACAAAAACCCTGCATCTCAAAGTGTTCAATAAGGATATATCTGAGACTACACAAGAGTGCAAAGCCTGCATAGTAATATCTGTTTATCTTCACTACATAACTAAAAATATCAATTCCAAGTTAGACGAATCCGGAAACACAAGGGGAAGGCATCAGCTGCACACACAACATGGGATGCTTCATGCAAATTGCCCCAGCCTCACCATGTATTTTACAACAGTTTGAATTTTTCTCAGATTCAGAAATGGAGTTTGTCCTGCCCCTCTATCTGATTTATTCTGACTTACAGGCTATTACAACAAATTTTGCCTTAGCCATGTCTGTCCTAATCATTACACATAGGCATGACCTAGCTCAAAATGAAGGAGCCTATAAATGAAAATAAAACATTAACAATTGGATTTCAAAGGTAAATATGAATGCTAAACATCTGCAAAACCAAGTATTCAGAGTCTGACTTAAGAACTCTCCTGCATTTTTCACTCTACTCATCTTAGACACAAACAGCAGTTGGAATTTTTTAAATTTATTTTTTTTTGTGGAGGAGTGAGAGGGGAGTGGAAATGCAGGGAGGATGAAGAATATAACTTATCACTTGGATAATGTATTCCCGTCATAAAGAAAACTGTCCAGAATCCACTAGACCTACAAACTAGAAAGAAACCTGGCCACCTCCACCAACAGAGATGTGCAAGACACTGCAGCTTAACAGTATAAAAGCACTGTAACAGAGTCTGGCTTTTTCGTAACCCAATACTAGTCACCACACAATCCAGTTATCATAAAAATCAGGACATAACATCTCATCGTGCCAATTTTCTCACACTTGCTCTTGAGCATTTACATATTTCTCTACACTAGACGCAGTTTATGCCTGCTTTTCCACTACAAACTCTACATGTGTGTCTATTGTGTGCAGTACCTACAAAACATTCCTTGAGTGCCCCAGTAAACATCAGCCAAACCACAGTCTTACTAGGATAGCTTATTCCAGCCACACTTCATCCAGGTAAAACAAACAAATGCAGCAAAATTGCAGATTCTCAACAGAGCCACACACACGAGGGGCTTCTGCCAACACAGGGAGAGTTCAGTACTCCAAGGAGAGCACAGCAGATGAAGGCAATGGTTTCACTGCTTCTGAGGCTCTGCAATATATGGAGTCATTACTTTTCTCCCTGGTCTCTCACAGCCAAGTCCAACGGCCTCCATGGGCACGGCCTCGGACATGGAAGAAGGCTGAGCAACCGCTGGCTTTCTGAACAGCCTGGAGTCTGCAGGAGCTGAAAGGCCCAGAGCTGCCACTGCTTCACCCACTGGAGACTGAACTACTGATCACAGTGAGAAAAACACTGAACTAGATTCTAGCAAAGATAAGTCCTGACAACAAAAAGGACCTGAGGCAAACCTGAACCGAGACAAGAGTGGTGCCACAGTTTCGACTCAATTGCAACAGCAATCAAATCATTTGCTCATCGGTGTTATGAAACCCAGCTTCTGAAACTGCAACAAAGGTAGATGCTAGGAAAGCTACTCAACCCACCTGTTCTTCTGCTTCATTTTGAACTTAGATCACTAAAGAAAACCTCATAACTTATAGGATGAAAAAATACTTCATGTTTGTCTGTGATGCACACCCCAATTTCTCCACATTATAAATATTCTCTGTACAAAAAAGTTTCTCCTTAAAGTGGGAAAAAAGTCTGACTAAGCCATTTAATTCCTGCTCTTCCCTTTCCCTTTTCAAACATAATCAGTTTTGAGTCTGGATTCCTTTAAACAAAGGCCTTCAAGTTCTTAATCCCAGTCCTAGGAGCTGAAACAGTTCACTTTTCTAACAGCAGTGTTACTTAGAGTGACAAAAGATAA